TACAAAGAAGTATAGAGGAATATATATATTATTATATTTTTTGTTGGAAAAACCAGAGTATCGTTTTACATAGAGCAACTTATTTTGTCACGCACTTCAAATCAATTAAACAGCGAATTATTAGCAGCGATTCGAGTGTTTCAAAAGGTGGCTTTGTCTCTCGTGAAGCTATAATAATCCTTATACAGCCAACATGATGGCGTGCAGTATAGCATCATCAGCGGCGGAGGCAAGTCATATACACGGATGACACTAATAATAGCAGTAGCGCGAGCCAGCTAACTCTTTTTTCTCCATCCTCGTCGAGAATCAGTGCTGGGTCCGACAACTCACTAAGTAGTGAGTACAAAAATGCGTTTCCACACAAATGTAAAGGTACGACGAGATTTTCTGCATTTTGCATCAAATAATTTTACAAGATCGCGCATAAACGTATGGTTTATTTTTCACATTTTCAATTCAACCGTGCAGAGTGTAACTTTGAGTAATGAGTGCTCATCCCATATTACAGATAAAAATTCAATTTTCCTGCAATCATTCGACTGCTTTTTTCGAAATGCCGTAAAATCAATCGCGTCATCTATTTTTAATTGTCAAGCAGCAAAAACTGCTATTTACCTACTAAAACACTTTTAACGCAGTAAGTTATTATATGTAATCATCCGCAATCAATAAAATCTGTATTTATGTATTTCAGGGGGACTCGTGATATTTTATGCAAAGAGCGATATCTGTGAAAAAAGTACCATTTTTTACACGGGTTACTTCTTGTTATAAATATAAGTGATAAATTGTACCAATCGATATTAATCAGTCAAACTGACCATTTGTTAGAACAATCATACCTTTTGATTTTCGTAATTACTTTGAATATTACGAACTCGTGTGATTTGCTCTACAAAGGTGGTGAAATCATAAAAAAAGTACTACATCCATATTGAGCGTCTATGCTATGTATACGCCAGTAAAGGATCCCGACAATACCGACGAGTACACAACCGATTACCGATCTTTCGATTGCCCCCTGTTGTTACGAAATACTAGACGCGTTGGTTACCATTCTTATCAAATGCTCGAGCTCGGTAAAATTGAGGTACAATTTACCATGATTATTTTTTTCCACTTGGGCCAAACATTTCTGCAGTGAAATTGTTTCCATTTGATAAAAGTAAAGTCAACTTACTGTGTTCATTGTATATCAACTTATAACAACAAAAAGGCACTTTTTTTCAAGCAATAACGTCTTAACAGTGTATTTTAGATTTAATGGATTTCATCAAGGAAACTTTCGTGCGTTCTTTGAATCCTTTCGAACTTAAGCGTTAAGCATTCAAATATTACGTACCAAGTGCAAAACGGTTGGTACGCTTCGCACAAACGTTTGAAAAAAAAAAAAATATATAAATATATGTGTATTGATAATATACATATACAGTATATTTAGCACACCTGCATTTCGATAAACTTGCAACATTCATTTTTGGGTAATATAAATGGCATATGCATAAAATTCCGCTCATTGATTTCCCCGTGGGTATAATATATATATATGCTACATTCATTATTAATATTATTGTTTGTTTGTATTGGGTAATATTGATAGTAAAAGGGAAACAAGTGCATAGTATGCAAAATTACAGAAAAAAGAAAATGGCACCCCCTTGAAAATTGTCTCGGTACCGCTCGAGAGAGCACGGGTGCAACAAACTGCCGTACCTATCATGGGCCGACGATCTCCTGGTCGGTACACCCAGTACTCGCTCGCTCTCGGAATAAGAACCAGAAGGAAACCCACGAGGGAAGAATCGCCCGCTGCACTATACTGCATATTATGAGAGCTGCTCTCCGCAGCAGCTCCGCAGTAGTGCAGGTACATTCCACGTGTGTAGATATGTTGTATACTTGTATACGTGCAGATGCGCTTTTCTCTAAGCACAGGTGCTGAGAGAGTCTCTGAGCCGCTGAGAATATAATATATTTATATACGTGCATCCACGTATTACAAATGGGTGGGTGGGGGGTACAGAGAGAGAGAGAGAAAAGCCGCGAGCGTACGGTACCTATCATATATACGCACGAGAGGCTCTCCTCGCGATGTGCGCTCCAGCCCATCGGGTTAGTTCTCGGACTTATCAGTAGCGCGCCCGGTGCTCCCTCGCATCAGATGTGCCATTGTCCTTCGAGAATCTACCAATTGCCCGAGCGATTAGACATTCGCGTCTTTATTGATTACACATACGGCCGATAAAATTACTTTGATACAATAGCTTTGAAAGTGATGATTACTAGTTGACTAAAGTACCGTTTAAACATAATATAGTATATGTATATGTATATGTATATGTATATGTATATAAAGACGTAATTATTCGTGGGTAATATGAAGAGGAATCTGGTGAAATCATCCACCGTCGTAGTCGGCACAACTGGCGCCCGCATTCCATCCTCACCCCGAGTCTAACAAACAGCAAGGTAAGTAGTAGGTAGTGTAAAAAGAAAATTTACTTTTCCACGGAGAAATCCAGGTATGAAACGCGTCGTCGTGCTTTTTGTCATTGCTTACTCTGTATGATGTATGAGAAAGTCGCATAGCACCGTGTTTCGGTGTATTTTTCATAGAGACAATCGATTCGAAAATTATTTATGTTATTTATGCGTCCTAAATCTCTCGATTTCGGCAATTTTTATCGATAAATTACCGATACGTTTGGTCGTTTTTAATTTCACAAATGTGGTATCTGCACAGTTTACGGCTCGGTACAATATTTAAACTATTTCTATCTCGATCGATTTTTTGTGAGATTTCAATTTTAAATTCACCTTGTTGATTGGTCGGACTATCTCCACGGCTTGATTCGTTTTTTGCCTTGTCTACCTGCATAGCGGACTTTAGCAGCAAAAATAAGGGTGCGTCGGTATATCTTGTTGATCCAAAATTGGCAAATATTGAAAAAAAATTGCATAAATACTTTCGTCGGTAGTTGTGAAAAAGTCACACATAAAAATCAAATTTTTCAAACGGATGATTTTTAACATGATGGATAAAAATTAGCGAAATTCAGCGCGAGGAAAAGTCATATGAAAAAAGAGTCTAAGAATGCAAAGAAAGGAAAAATACATAAGTACATCAGAAAAACTACAATGAAGCCCACGGAAAATTTTAAACAATTATATATACAATAATAGTGCGGTACCAGTTGTTTTTTTTTTTTTTTTTTTTTTTTTTTTTTTTTTTTTATTAAAGACTAAAAATAATATTTTACCACTATTAAAAGACAAAATAATGCCAGATACTTTCAATTGAAGATTAAAACAAGATTAAAATTTATCAAAAAGATTATTCGGGCAGCAACGTAATATTTTTTTAGTATTGATTTAAATGAATAACTTGTGCTTTCATTTGCATACATTATCATTGACTCAACATTTCTTTTTCGCCTATTTAATGCGTGAAATCTTGGAAATATCTTTAGCGTAAATAATGCCTGGTTCCCGAAAAAATATTTGCGTTCGTGTAAAAACTATCGGAATACTAGCTATTTTCCACTCTGAAAAACTTGCTAAATAAAGGAATGGAATTGTTTTTTTTTTTTTTTTTTTCTTCGCGTTTCCGTTCCTAATTGTAATCATAATAACCACGAGAGGCTCGAACGCCAAAGAAACTCGACTCACTGCGTGCGCGCATGACTCAGGTGCTTCTCAGGAAATTTTTAAACATCGCACCGTGAGGTGCGATTATTAAAGTCACTCTAATCTTAATTTTACTTAGTTATGAGTCATTAAGTGTGGAACATTTATGAGTGTATTGTATGAAAAGATGCCCATCCAAAAAGAGTATTTTTCTACAAATTTTTTAATCATTACCCCACGGTTTTATTGACGAACAGAATAACACCACTTTTTTCTGGAGCATACAATTTTCAAAGAATAATATTGAAAAATAGAAATCTTTGTAGTAAGCATCGTTTTTTTTTTTTTTTTAATTTCTGAAATATTTAATTTTTCTACTTTAGTCTTTTTTGTTTTTCTTGGAAAATCGAGTTCGCATCGGTACGCATTCAGTTGTGGTATGTGCAAGGAATTCCTTGAGCATAGGCGGTGCTTGCCCAGGTGACCTGCGCCGCGATACGAAAATTATTTAACTTTTCCTCTCAGCCATCAGAATATTTTGGAAAAAAAAATTCATTTGGATTACTAAGGTGTCTTTAATTTACACTAATGGGCACAGTCAAGTTTTGCATAAAATTCTCCTTTCTACTATCGAATCTTGGTAGTAAATTTTTCAAAAGACTTGTCGCTCGTATGCGTGCATCAAATTTCAAGTGCGGTCATTATCAAGTTTAATAAGAGTGTCGTTAGTCTCGAATTTTTATTGAAAAAAAAAAAAAAAAAAAAAAAATGTATATATATACAAGATGATCAAACATCACTTGTACATTTTATAAGGTCTATGGAGAAGCGAGAAAATAAATTATTTCCTTGCAAATAAAATTAAATTGAAAAAAAAAGTCAAACTAAACAGTGGCATGTAGAGCATGACTGTACAAACAATACTCATGGTTACAAAATAGATTTATGATTTCTCGTTTGTTGCTCGCATCTTGACGTACACCAAAGGAATGAGAAACAGTTATTTACGCAACAGGTGCGAAAGAGCCGGTTTCCCGCATGGGCGGATACAAGTGACAGACTCTCTCGAATCAACCATACGATTTTTCTCCAATAAGTTATTGATAGTATTACTGTTTTCTAGCTAATTAATTTATATAAATGATTGTTTAATGCAATATATGCGGCCCATTCAGCCGTTAGTAATACGAACATCCCATTTGACCATAACAACTATACGAGTCTTCCCACGCAATTTCGTTTTACCTTTTCTTTCCCTTCCTCTTCTCATAGGCGTAAGTATACGTGCGTACGAGTCCTTTTCCCCCTTTTTGTTTCACCCTTTCGCGTGAGAACTAAAAGAAGAAGAAGAAGAGGAAGCAGAAGAAACGTATCCAAACATTCATCTACTAATTATCTCGGTTTCCTTCTCTGATGCGATTCATGAAATTCAGCTTTTACATACGAAGGGCTATGTGAAGTTGCCCTTATTTTAATGAGCTAGGGCTTATACTGTGAGAACCCTATTTCTTTTACTGTTATTAATGCCACCGACACTAGTATGTTTATATTTATTACACGCACTTTTGCAAATTTGTTTTTTTTTTCTTAATCATCGCGCGTTGTGCAATTCAAGTCGATTGAAACTATTATGTATAAAATCACACTTTTCGCGGGGAGAGGGTATACGTTCGGAAAAATAAGTTTAACGCTAGATCACAGAGTAACATTTTCCATTTCAGATAAACATTGATTTTACGTCAAGTAAGACTGTACAACGTGATTTTTATGTTTTTAACCATCGATTCATAATGCAACTGATATTTGAATTATTCGTTGTTTTTTTTATATTTTGGGTGCAATATATCTATCTGTGTACTCGATACCCTTTTTCTTCTTTGATAATAGCACAAAAAGAGCTGCTACTATTACATGTTGCTTGATCGAATTGGATACGATGAGGAAAGCACTGTGATTACTCTAATGTTACCTGATCTCGCATGGTAAAAGAAAAAATAAAAAAAAAGTAATCACCTCACCCACCATTGACCAATCACGCGATAGTCAATGGGATACCAACTTTTGTTGGAGCGTATTTTTCAAGCACCTAGGAATAAACGGCCGATTGGATTCATCAAGCGCTCAACCATGACTGACCAAGTTCGAAATTGTTAATTAGAGAGAAATACTGATACGTGCAATTCCTTGAGAAAAAAAAAAAAAAATGCATCCAAGTAAATGTTGAAAAATAATCGTCAACAAAACTGACAGCCCGACTTGATGAATGGAACCACCATTAAATACGTAAAATAACGAAGATAATAATGATAATACTATGCGCGTCCCATGGCAGTGCACACACGAGCGCTCGCATATTAGCGCTTCCTTGCCTCCGGTAATCGTCTTCATCGTCATCGTCGTCGTGGTCGTCCGTGCATATAACTGTACCGCGCTCCCTCTTTCACATCCGTCTCTCCGCATACTTTTTCTACTCCTTTTTTTTTTTCTCCCGCTGCCGCGCTGTTCTGACTTCTCCAAGTACGGGCGCGCGAGGGAGAAAATGAACAACAGGGCGAGGGGGGGGGAAGAAAAAAGGAAATGCATGAGAGAGAGAGCGCGTTTAACGGGATGCTGAGTGCTTATCCCGAGAGATTTCGATCGTGTGTGTAATAGGTATGGCTTTTTCGTTTTCATGGGTATCCGCAGTACTTATGTATGCGTTAACGGGAGGCTTCCTTGGCACGCAAGGACGACGACAAACTGGACGGCGCGTTTGCTTGTACACATATATATTTATACACACCTTGTGTCCATGTGTACGGCAGGTGCGCGAGCCCAGATATATATGTACATAATATACTTGGTTCTGTACGGAAGAGTCGTTAACCTCTTTAAATTTTACCTTTTTTTTTTTTTTTTTTTTTTTTCATTTTTCAAGACCTCGATAGGTATGGATGTAGGTTTTGCATGCGTGCGTAAGAGAGGAAAATATTAATTTTTCTGAAAAATAACATAAATTGTTTCACGTCATCTTTTTGTTGTTTTTACTCTACTTTTATATATACATGTAAAATGTACAACAAAAAGTGCCATTATACATCACCCGTTTGTCCTGATTTCTCCAACACTGTACGGCAGATCGAAACGGAAAAAAACTAACGTCACAGCGCTGTCAATGAAATGTCAAAAATTATATGGTTACACGAGAGTCAATAATTTGACAAAATTGATCACATCGTGTCGATCGCTTTGGTTTAATTTTTGAAAATGTATTTTGACGGCTAATTCTCAATGCAATGGCGAAAAACTTGATGCTGGTTGTAAGTACATTAGGTAACGCGGGGGGGAAACAAAAAAAAAAAAAAAAAAAAAAACAGGATTCAACGAAGAAGAGAAGGACAAAGAAAAGTAAAAGAGGGTGAAGAAACAAGACGGAGCTACGCATATATATATTATGTAGGAAGCAGTAACCGCGATGCAGTGCATCTGTTCGAAAGCTGCAGTTATCTTGCTCGCACGCATCCCATAGATGAGACGCGTATACAAAGAAGTATAGAGGAAGAGCGTGGCATTGGCCTTAGACTATATAAGGATGTGATGGTGGAGAGGAAAACATAGGCATGAGAGAGATTCGCTACCGACGATGACGACCTGACGCGCGAGGAGGAGGATGAGGAGAGACAAATAAAGTACAGCTGTCTATCTGCTCTCTCGTCCCGCTAGGTACACCACTCGATCTATCCCTGTCTTTTTTACCTCTCAAACATTTTCTTTTTATTATACATATACACATAACGTTAAAGTGTAAATACTTACAAGTTTGCTTACCAAGTTGTTTTTTATAGTCCAACGAGGTTGACATACCATTTTTTTATGCTCTACCTTTCGTCAAACAATTACGAACACGATCTCCATACAATGGAGCCTCAGTCGTCATTGTAGCTTTATCGCTCGCATTACATCTTGAACGGGCCATTTTTAACGTACACACATGACAGCTAGATTATATGTACGTGTGTATATATGTGTCAATAAACTAATTTTTTCGATAAAATAAATATAAACCGTACTTTTTGCCGATACGTCGCTCAAATTTTGATGAACAAAAAAAAGGGCCATTTTTTTCGGACGAGCGTTCGGTGTAACAAGTAAATGCGCAATGTGTACTTAACACGAAAACGTTGGATTGGCTAAATTTTCACGTGTGCACCTATGAAACAATCATTGTATGACGGTGTAGTTTGAAGGAAATGGGACTATATGTATACCGATGTAGCTGCCCGCGCGTAACGGCACCGAACATTATGAATCAGGTGGAGCGCTCAGTACCTAATGATTGGAACTTGATTCTCTCTCTCCTCCGGGACACGCGAGTGTGCAACTGGTTGGACTGTAGCAGCTGGATATTATCTCTCTCTACTTTCTTTCTGTGATTCGAGCCCATTACTTGGCTGTAGGTACATACGCGTTCACAAGCATATTCTCTCTTTATACGCGCAGCTTTATTCTTCGCACGGTGCATCCTCTTTCTCGATGTAACTGAGTTTTTTTTTTTTTTTTTTTCTCTTTATTTCCAAGCCAAAGTTATAACCCCAGTGCGTGCGTTCGACGCATATTATGTTGTTCAAACCGTGTAGCATGGAAGCCGATTGTTTTCCTTGCCCCATTGTTTTGAGTTGCAACCACGTAGCCGCAGGGCAAATTGAACACTTTCAAGTACAAATACACTTTGGTTACCGTGAAAAGCGTTATGGAAAGAGGCATAATATACCTGCGCTTGATTGTCTAGATGTTGACGCTTTCATCAAAGTATGCGTTAAAGCTTGACTTATATCGAATTAGCGACTATAGCTTTTTCAGTTCAGGATACTCGTTTTTTACAGAAGATCAATTATTATTAAGATCTCACTCACGACCACCGCATTATGCGTTTTGTAATTGTTGACAGAATTTATACAAAAACTTATCATAATGAAAATACACTTCATTTTAATTTTATTGTTTTCAGCGAATCGAAAATGGCGCCAAATGCCGAGGAGGATCTTTTGGTAACGATACCACGTAACAATGGCCCACACTCCACCAAGGTAATTACTTATTTGTAAAGTTTGTTGCATCAATTATGAAAGACTACTGAACAAAAAGGTTTGGTGCACGAAGAATACTTGAGCTTTATCCTGTTGTTATTATTGTTGATAGGATTTTTTTTATTTTCAATCATTGAAACAAATGGCCAAGTTATCCAATTTCACCCAAATGATACAGTAAATGAAACATTTTAATTCTAAATTCATAAGATAATAGTTAAATTCGATATTTCCAAGGTTACAATATCAAACCGTATCGCAGCAGATCATACTTTGTAATTCCGCTTTGTCATCTCATACTCTTAGTTCAGAACATTTCGAACTTTACTTACATGTACGTAACCCGGTGAAATTATTGGGTACAGGGTAACCTTGGAAAAATGTATAACTAAAGCCTAATTGTTAATTAGTAAATCGAATAAATCAAATTTACAACTTTCCTGTGGTGTTACCTATCATGGAAATTCATTGCAATAAATTGTCAAAATGATTATAACGTAATCGTAAAAATTTTATTTATTAGTTCAAAAATCGACTCGTAACTCTCATTGTTACCTGCCTAACCTGTAAAAACTCCTTCACACAGCATTTCACCCCATAGTATATTGGCCATGAATATTTTATATATATATTATACAAATAAGAACAAATATAACTGTTGAATTCGGTGAATTTCCAACCGTTTGTCAGACTTGTTTGTTTCTTCATGGAATTTAGTTTGAAAAATATACACGGCGTTCGCTTGGGCTATATTTCCTTTAATGATAGATTTCACTGCGGTCGTGAAATTACACATTCTTTTTCTTACTTTACCGCTACAGGAAAGTGGACGAGTTTCACTGCGCACGCGTACATGCAGCAAACGTATGGTTTACATCTTTTTTCGCAAAAAAAGACTCAGAATATGGTAAAAAAGCTTTATAGATTATACCCATGTGAGGCACACGAGTATTGCGACTTTCCACAAAATGTAATAATAAATTATCTGCCTGCCGTGAAAACTTGGACCGAATACCAATTATACGAGAAAAAAAAAAAAATTCATCTTACGATATTGCATACACAGAAATAAACTAGTTAAACAATCGTACCTTTTTTTTTTCATAAAAAAGTACACTTTCTCCCGTATCTGGGATAAAATGCAAAATTACAAGGTGTAGATACCTCACTCGATTTTATCATTTTTCGAACTAGCTTTCATTTGCAACTAAACTCGTGACACACAATCATCCGTAAGATTTAGTGCATTTATTTTTAAGATATACGTACGTTTCGGGGAAAAAAAAATTGTGGAAACGTCTCGATAACTTGTTTTTCAACATTGGAGATAACTTTTGCCAAGGATAACTAAGCTATTTTAAATCGAGATTTCCTTAAAACTGCCGTACGATATATCCAAGCCTCCCCTTAACGTGTCCTATAATTAAGACAGTGATTTTCAATTAAAAAAATTAGCGATTTTTTTCCATCCCGAGCTTTTTGTGTTTAATATTTTTTTTTTTGTTTGTAATTTTCGTAATTTTACAACGGTAGATGTTGTAAAAAGTCCGACACCCCCCAATGTATACCCATGTACTAGCCAACGCTGGTAGCAAGATTACTAAAAATATGACGACGCGGCGACACCAGATAGATCCATCAATAAGGAAGTAAGTAAGTAAGCACTGCATCACGGGTTATTCTCAGCAGGAGCAGCGGCAAAGGCCGCCCACGTACAACGCGGAGGACTACGCGATAACTTTGCGCCGTTGGGGCAGGCGAGCCCTTGGTGGCAAATCTTTGGATACCAGCAACGGCCAGAGCACCTTGCCATCGTCATGCACGAGTTTGAGCTCCGGCTACGCTTCGACCAACCCGGGCGAGATGACTCTAAGGCAGTTCACCTCCGTCACCGAGCTCCTGAACAAACTACGCGCTGACCTTCGCCTCGCTTTTCCCAGGTTACTTCTTCCCTTCTATATCATATACCTGCATCCCTGCAGTGCGTTGGCTGCTACTTAAATTAAAACGGGAAAATATCCTTCCCTACATCTCAATTGGCTGATTTTTTTCGCTTAACGCTAATAACAAATTTGTACGAGTTTCGCCTAAATATGCATGACAAATGTTGATTTCCAATAGTTTTTCCAGTAATTATCCGTCATTGCAATTCACACCGACCTCATTTTGTTTCTTACACTTATACTTGATGTTTTTGTAAATATATACTTATACCAGTCACCGATTTCATTTTAGAAAGTAGAAAAATGGCTGGAGATGTATATATATATATTATAGTTGTCGCGCGAATTGAGCATCGTAAAACTGTCCGGGTCTCCCTTCCTTCGGAAAGTATACACATTAACAAACAAACAAAAACATACCATAAAGTGTATACTTAATATGTAAAAGTAGCACACCGCGAAATCGCGCGTCCGTTGTGTCCGAGATGACAAAAAGACGCACCGTTACTCTATACCGTGCGTATAATGCGTGTATATGTGTACAAGCGGAGGAATATTCGTTAATCTCACGGACACGTTCCACGCTGGAAATTCCTTGCAATTGCACCACTGCGGACATTATAATATGGAAAACACACGTACATAAGACTCAAATCGTTTGGAAAAAAAAGCTATATTTCGTTTTGTTACAGTTTTGTGCAAGAGTTTGCGTCGCCACCGGCGGACGGTATCTCATTGTTGTTGGAGACACTGCGTAGCGTCCAGCTATCCCAGTCGACGCCGCCCTCGGCTACGGGCAGCAGTCGTAGACCTCGAGCTCGTAGAGCCGCGCTCGACGAGTTGGGATGCGTCGAGTGTTTGGCTGCTTGCACGGAAAGGTGTCCCGACGCGGCGAGGATACTGGCTCAAGTGCAGCCTGGGCTCTTGGCACTGGCCGTATGTCTCACCAGTAGCTTGAACAGGACCCGCGTGCTTGCGCTACAGGTCGGTTATACACTTCTCGACAATTGCACCAATCCATATTACCAACAACCTCGGACAATGATTTTCATTTCATTAAAAATGTGGCACGTTAATCACAAAATTGTCTTCCCACCACCCCTCCTTTCTCGTCAGCTCTTTTACACCTATTGCCAGTAAGTGTCTAACCATGAAACAAACATAATTAGGTATATTCACAAGATTAAAATACGATTTTCATTGCTTGTCTATGTTGGGGATATCGGTTGTTCATTTGGATCAATTTGCTACTTTGCTTTTTTTTTAACATTTTTAAACGTGGCAATTATTAATTTAGCCAAACAGAATATTTTTTTTTTCACACGTAACAAAGTAACGCTTTATCTATTTTCAATGACCGAATTTTTGTCTGTTTGTCCATCAGTTGTCCCTGTCTCCCAGAGAGCCCCACCTTCCGCAGCATTGAGCTGCGAAATAAAAATTTCTTTAAGCAAAAATTCCATCCCTGGGTCGACCCGTAGTGTTGATCTCGAGTAATAATCCTCGGGTGTATGTGTATATACATAATATGTTCCACCGTAGCTGTTGACGAGGGTGTGCGCGACGAGCGGCGGCCACGCGGCCGTCTCGGAGGCAGTGTCGACCCTCCGTCTGCGGTACGGCGAGGGCGGCCGTTTCCGCTTCCTCGCGGGCGCCCTACTGGCTCCAAAAGCCGCGCCGGCGCTGCGGCTGGCGGGGGTGTCGTTTCTGAACGCGTTCATCGGCTCGGCGCCCCGGACCCAAGCGAAGCTCTACATCCAGGCGGAGACCTGCGAGGCCGGCCTCGAGCCCAGGATCCTCCAGGAGTGGCTGAGGCAGCCCGACCCCGCCGCGGACGCGTACGACGAGCACGACGAAACGGGGGGCCGGCCCCTGGGGGAGCTGCTGAGGGAGGAGGTGGGCAAGTGGTCGAGGCACTGCGTCGACGTAGACGCGCTCCAGCTGCGCGCGAGAATAGCCGAGGAGAGCTGCCGGGCGTTGACCAAAAAGGTCGCGGTGCTGCAGAGGCAACTCCAAATCCTCCAACTGGAGAGGATGAACGAGCACAACGTCGGGGATACGGTTAACGGGGACAATGAAGCGAGCGTCGACGTGGACAATCGGGAGCTGAGGCGGGAAAACGGGCATCGGAAGGTGAGTTGGCTCTCATCCTTATTTTATTGCGCTTCATTTGGACTGACGAGGCATATAATATTGTGGGATTAGAAGCCGCGAGTGGATGTGGATAAAAAAATATCGTCGAGCGCGGAGGACGAGGGTATCAGCTTCTCCGAGAGGTCCAGCAGCCCCGTGGACCCGCAAGGGTTATTGGCAGCTGGAAAAAAAGGCCACCGGGCCATGAGCAAGCCCCGACGTGCGACCAACAACAATCAAATGGACAACGACCAGGAGACGACGATCGACGACGTCATCGAGGAACTGCGGATAATCGTCAAGGATGCGGAGGAGGAGTTGCACGACTGGAACCAGCTGAGCAGCAAGAACAACGCGCCGAGGTCGGGCTTATTTTCGGAAGAGGCGGCACCGAGTACCAAGGGAATCAAGAACGGGCTGCCCAGCAAAGCCAGGGTCTGCCTGAGAAATAGCGAGGAGAACGCCCGGTTGGACCGAGACTTGAAAAAGACGAGCTTGAAGATCCTCGTGCCTGGAGCGAAAATCAAAAATAGGTAAAACAATTCACATCAAGTCTTTGCAATGCACCTCTCGAGCGATTATTCATCGACTTTATTTTGTTTTGTTTATCAGGGACATATTGGACGTGGATATAGAAGCGAGGAATGGTCACGAGGATGAGGACAAAGAATCCGTCATAGTACCGGCGATAATCCATCCCCAGCCCCCGAGACGCGCCGCGGGCAGTTGCCAGCTTCTATTGTCCCACCGGTATCAAACGGCGGATCATCATTACCCGCAAGACATCGATCACCACCAGGGCATAATGATCGAGGCCTGCGTTGACTCGGACCCCGACGAACAGGATCTCTTACTGATGGCCAGGGACAACGTCGACGACGAGGATGACGACGACATCATAGACGACGGCAGCGATTCACTTCTCAGCGCCTCGAGGCTCGACAACAATTACCATCACTGTCAGCAAGACGGCCGCCGTCGTCACCAGAGCCGCCGGTCGTTGGACACCAGTGCGACCGCCGAGTTGAAGCTGGAGAGTCTGGCGGACTTTGAGATATCCGAGAGCGTGTTCGACGAGTTGCGGGTGGCCAAGCGCAGCAGCAGCCACCCGCGCGCCGCCGAGCCCGGGAACAACAACTCCGTCCGACCCCTGCACCCGCGCTGCTCCAACACGGTCCAGAGGCGCACCGAGCGCCGGAAGTACTTGCGCCGCTGCCAAAGCCAGGACCACATAAGGGAGCCCCGCCAAGCCGACGAATCCACCTGCAGCCTCAAGTCCCTCAGGGGCTCGGGTAGGGTCGTTCTGGAGCAGATCCGCAAGTTCGAGAGCCTCAACGGGCTGGAGGAGCGCGACCAGCAGCCCGTCCTACGCAGGTCCGAGTCGTTCCACCAGACGCGCCTCTCGCCGACGCCCCAGGCAGGTGGCGAGGGCCGCGAGCGCCACCAGAGATCCATGACCAAAAGCTTGGACCGGATAGACGAGGCTCGCTCGAGTCACGCGGGAAAGAACGTCGAGAAGAGGCGCAAGTTGTCGGCCAGCGACGAGCGCCACAAGGACGATCGTCGGCGTAAACAGCGGAGTGTGGCCGACGACTACGCGAAGCGCAAGTACCGGGTTGCCGAGGATGCCAAGTACACGTCCTTTTTCGATGGTAGCGGCGGCAAAAAGCAGAGCTCCGGCCGGGATTACCGGCAGCCGAGTGACCCGAAAATATTCGCCAATCGGGCCCACGACGTCCTCGGGTTCGGCAAAAACCGCTTCAACGCGGGAAAGTACTCGGGAAGCAGCGGCGCCCATCACGCGCTGCAAACACCGCCCCAGCAGTTTCACGCTTCAAAGTTGGCGCCGAGGCACGCCACCTCCTCGTCGTCGACGGCGCTCAATGCGCGGAACAAAGTGACCGACGTCGTGTCCGGGCTTTACTAAAATCATATACAACTACGTTATGTTTCGTACGCGCAAATTAATATGTTTACAAGTATCCGCAATGCATCAAAGTGGAGTTGCGAATTTATTAAATTATAAATCTCGTATCACCAATAATGATGATGTATATGTACAACTTTTGGGGACTCTCAGTGCAATATATATATATACATTTATATATATATATATATATAGATTTATATATCTCGATTTATATACATATATATTTATTATTCGGTCGTTACATTTAATGTAATTCCTCATTGATGATTTCTTCCCAGGATTTGTTCTTTATTATTGTTGTTGGATGATAGTATTCCAGTTGGCATGACTCGTGTGTGCAACGTGCGCGTTGTTTGCTTGGTTATACGAAAATATACGAGTTTACGTGGTAAAGTGTTCATTTTATTGTGCATCAGAGAGTTATTGACATTAAGCCATTTTGAAAATTGTATCTTACATTTATTATCATATTTTCGTATTACATTGAAAAATAATGTTTACACATATTGTTTTAATATTTTTCGTTTTATTTTATTTTATGCAAAGTAATGTATCGATACTATGCTGTCGATAAGTATATATAAAAGAGTATTAATGAATTGAATTTACTGTAATTCACGTGTGTGTAAGTTTATTTATATCATAAAAATAAATTATAATTCGATAATCATACATATAATACATAAATTTTTTCCATCTTCATTTTTATATTTTTTCCTTCATATTATTAATACTTGGCAAAGTAAACTTAATGTTGATTTTATTTAAAATTACACTTTATCGTTATTAAAGTAAAACAATAATGTTTAAAGTTTAGTAATAAATTGATCAATTATTTAAGATGTATGAGTTGTTTTATGAAAATTTAATACTTTGATGAGTAAGGCAAAATTTTTCAACATTCCGAATTTGTTTCTGTTACCCTAGACAATTTCGAAACTTTTAATTTAAAAAATTGTATATTACCTATAAATTTTCAATGTATATATGCACTGTACACATTTGGGATTCCGGAATGACCGCTTATTTTATCGCGACAAGGACCACGTACTTGAAACGATATTGCTAGTAACAATATTTAAACTTAAAATTGTAAAAAAATTATTCAATAGATTCAACGTTTCTAGAATATGAAATACAATTCAATTCAAGTGTCCACTTCACCTTTGCCGCGTCAAATTTCAAAGTGACAGAATTTTCGGCTGCCACTGATCCACACAACACACGTACCAAATTGAAAAAAAAATTTTTTGATTCTTCTTAAGTACAAATTTTGTTTCGTAGGTATTGTTAAAAATGGCTGGGAAACAAGAAATAATGTATTGTTCGCAAAAGGATCAGTTAACATGTATAATATGCATCAAAAAGTTTTACGTTTCATCGCAGGTTACACTCTACACTTCGAAATGATTATAACGATTGGTTCATCCAATATTTACACGTTACAGTGCTCCAGAAACATTTCCTTATCAAGAAAAAGTATTCCGTTGTTTTTAACAGTCTTATGATAAACGCGGACGAGAAATAAAATTCGCTTGGCAGATCTTCCAATCCAATTTGGCCAACTTTTTCATTTAGCTCGCCGATCCTCGAGCTTATCAGCTCCCACTCGCGTGCAGGAGCGTAGTCTTCACTTCGTTGAGCTCGTAGCTGGATGCGTGTACGCTACGGTGAGTCAATTCTGGATTACCGATCAGCGGCTCCAGCCTATCCCTGTGAGATTCGAACATCTGCTGGTGGTGGGATGGTTTTTCTACAAGTCACAAGAATGAATATGAATATTGAGTAATTCACGCGCAAATGACAAATAGCAATCAACCTCTGGTGCTGTGCATCAAGAGATACGAGAGCTCATCCTGGGTGGACACGTGCTGAAAGTCCTCGCCGCAAGCGCCCTTGAGCACGGCCACGACGTCGGACCTGGGATTGTAAAAGTAAAGTCCCTGCTTGCGGCCGTTGAACTCGTTTATCAGGCTGGCTATTCCCTTGGCTGCCGTGAAATCGGCTCCCAAAACGTATCGGCAATCCACCACCACCGGAATTTGGCACGAGCCCTCGGTGATGCCGGCGTTGCCCACGGATCGCTTGATAAAGTCCACCGCGGGAAAGTACAGACTATTCCCCGGGGTCACCAGTAGGTACTCGGCACCTGCATCCGTCTAGGACAATATAGTACATAAAAAAAAAAAAATGTCCTTTTATCTCACGTTTACTTTTTTTCTTCAACCGTTTAGTCATAATCTTGTTAAACTTACAAAGTACTTTTCCACGTGGACCTGCGGTCGGGCCGACGGGTAGAGTAAGAGCACGAGATTGATACCGACGCCGGCGACGATTCCATACTCGACGCCGATCACGAGGCACAAGAGGAAGGTGGCGAAGGTCGGGATGAGGTCCTTCTTGCTCGACCTCCACATGAGTTTCACGACCTCGTACTCGATCATGTAAATCACGGCGCAGATGATCACGGCTGCCAGGGAGGCTGGAAATCGTCGACAGTCGATTAATCGTTATCGTCGTCATTGTCAACCGGTCGATCAACGGACCTTTGGGTATGAAGTAGAAGTACGGCGTGAGCAGCGTGAGAGCCATGAGTATCAGCAAGCCGGTGTAGAGGCCGCCCATGGGGGTTTTGACGCCGCTGGCGTGATTGACGGCGGATCGGCTGAAACTACCGGTCACGGGCATCGAGCTGGCGCACGAGCCGATAACGTTGCAAACGCCGAGGGTTATCAGCTCTTGCGTGGCGTCGACTCTATTGCCACTCGCGAACGCTTTGGCGATCGCCACGTTGCCCAGGACCCCGATTATCGGCACCAGGACGATCGACGGCCCCAGCTCGGCGCACATGTCCGTGAAGCCCAACGTACGGTTGTTCACCTGCGTGTGTTTTCGTGGGCAATGAGCGCATGTATTTTACTGTCATCGCGTATACAATTGAAACACTTGCCTGCGTGGAAAAAGGCGGAAAGTCGAAGGAAGGCAAGCCCGGCCTGACCGGACCGGTGAGCACGAAGGGCGACTTTGAGCTGGAGCTCTCGAGCGCGTAAGCAATGGTCGAACAGGCAACGACGACCATGGCGTTGCGGGCCGTAGAAACGAGCCAAAGGGCTTTCGTCAGGATCCTCTGGCGCTTCGTCGGCTTCTTGGCCCCCTTTTCCCCGAACCTCAAGTCCTTGAGCCGCTACCGATCCCCACCCATCGATGATTATATCATGCAACCGTTCACGTACACAGTAGTTATACTCTATGTACTCACTCGAAACAGCAAGAGCACGATTATGCAGCTGAGGCTCATGCCGGCGTCCCAGGGACTGGTTTTGTGGATGTTCCTCAAGACCTGCCGAAGCGTGTCGACGAAGCCGTTGGGGGAGATCCGCAGCCCGAGCAGGCCCTTGAGCTGGGACGCCACGATGATGACGGAGGTGGCCGAGGTGAAGCCCACCGTCACCGGTATCGAGATAAAGTCCACGAGCACGCCTTTGGGGGGGGGGGGGGTTGTTGTTCACTCGTCGGGTCATTGGGGAACGATGAGCTTATAGATATTATAGGCTGGGACTCACCTAGATGGAGCGCGGCCATGAGGAGTTGCATGCAGCCCGTGAGGAAGGCCAGTAGTATGGCAAAGTCGACGCCCCTGCTCTGGACGTACTGGTGGGTCATGAGGGACATGAGAGCCGTGGGTCCGATGGTTATGTCCTTGCAGGAGCCGAGGATGGCGTATATGAGGGCGCCGATGAAAGCCGAGTACAGTCCGTACTGCAAGACAAAGCAAAGTATGTACGGCCAAGATCGGTTGGATGAATGTACCTGGGTGTGGAAAATGTCGTACTTGGGGTTCGAGGCCGGCTAGAGTGGCGTAGGCGAGGCCTTGGGGCATGACGGTCAGGCCCACCGTGATCCCTGCTATGGCGTCGCTGACGAGTTTGTCCGAGTCGTAGGCGGGCAGCCACGCCAAGATCGGCAACCGGCGCCGGAGTATGCGGCTCAAGTAGCCCCCACCTTTGCTCGGGTCCCTCATTGTTGATGCCGTTTCGAGATCGTTGCCCTACGTGAGATCGTATACAAATGTGTTATTGTTTCCTTTGCTTCTCTTGCAACTACAGTCAAAATCAAAAAGTGAATCAAAATGTGCTTTGTGCGTTTTTGACGTCGGTTACAAAAAAGTTTCAAAGGTTCCCGATGATCTGTTTGGAAAAAGGCCGATTGGGTCAATCGAAATTGATCCATCGCAGGCCTTCGTTGGACTGTAAGGTCCGTTGGGTTATCGTAGGCTGAAAATCATCCTCGAAAAAAATTGATTGGCCGTAACGCGTCACGCCGATATAGGGACATACAGATAAGCACGTACTGCAACTCTACATATGGTTTATCGAAAAATAATGTGCATCCTCTGTACGCTTATTAGATTATGAGCTGGGGTACCGATGAGGCAAAAATAAATAAAATAACTGCTGCCCATCTCGCGAAAGTTGAGAAACCTTCTTATAATTTGTGCAGATTCGAGGTGTTATTTTCATGAAGTTTGGTATGTTATTGATACTCGGAACTAAAATAGCGGTAATTTTACGATTCAATAATGAGGACAATGTTTTCTTTTCGAAAAATCATCCCCAATTTTTGGTGTATGAATTTTTTTTGTTCAACTCTTTGATCATTATCCGTTAGGCCATGTGGCGGCAGGTATAAATTTTATACACGTGGACGATATAAACCGTCATGGCTAGACAATGTCACGAAAATACCTCAAACCTCCACGAACCGTCAAAAATAGTGTACTCTTTTTTTTTAAATAAATATAAAATCAAAGGGTTGATGGAACTCAAATTATGTCAATACTTTGCCATCAAATCTTACGATCCAAGTATCACCGAAAAATGCTTGTATAGTGACTAATGGTACTTACGTGGGATCAAAATCGGTTTTACTATTACCGTTAAAAATAATCGTTATTGACTTTATATGATCAATATTTGTAATCATCAAAAACATACATCTGCAATGATACATTTGGTTCTGAAGTAGTTTTCATCGTGATTCAAACACTTGATTCAAATATCGACAGCACTGATTTGTTGTTTACATGTAAACATCAGTATCAGATTTTATCCAACATATTTTGCTTTTTACACTATTTTAAAATTGTCGCTTTCCTAAATAACTATAACTAATGCCGTTTCTAATTATTGACATCACAGTTTTTCGGAATTAAATTTTTAAGGCTTAAAAAATATACATTTTAAATAACTATATACAAAAACTATCAGGTTGATGATGAGGTAACAAGAAACATACATTTTTCATTAAATTCACTCAAAACAGATAAGCATTATTAATTCTAACGTTCGTAAAAATTAGATTTTACACTTTCGCAAAGCCCAATTTTCAGTATTAGTATATTTGGAAAGAGTAATTCTCCGAAATTTTACACTTTTTACGTTCAAGTGTACATATTTAAATTTTTCTTGCACTTTTTAAGCACTTGAAATTATATATGGTTATACTTAACGAATTTTGCTAGCTGAGCCTTTTTTTTACAAAAACTTTAGATAGTTTATGGAATGTTTATAAAATGTAAAAATATAAAGCAGGTAATTTTCACTTCGAGTTGATTTCAAATGTTTTAGTCATGTAGCTGTTATATTTTGTACTTGTAATTTAGTGTGAGATGATCTACTAATATATCACACTTTCGACAGCGAAAATCCATGTTTGTTATTATAGCTTCGTCGTTGATGTATTTATCAACTAAAATACAAACAGATGAAATATTCTCAAAAAAGCTACTCTTTGTTTTTTTCTTTTTTTTCATTAAAAAATGAATCAATAATACAAACAGATAATTTACTCTTAAAAAAAGCTTCCCTTCGTTTTTTTTCTTCAAAAAATGAATCAACGTTTAGCTGTGCACACAACTGCGACTGCATAAGTTTGTAGAAACTACCAAAAAAAAAATAAAAATTTAATAGAGACTTGCAAAAATCGAATCCCATAGCAGCGCGAAAAATACGTGCACATATAAAAATAAAATAAAATAAAAGATTTAATTATAGTATGGTATACATACAATATATTCCGTTTAACTGCACATTAGAGAGGTGTGTCGTGTCCTGATTGTTGCACTAGTCACGTAATTGCTTAAGCCGAATTTTTCTTATTTTCCAATATTAGTCCCAAGACCCTGCGAGCTGTTTTTTTTTTTCATCGTCTGTGTCACTTACGTAAAAATTGTAAAAAAAAAATTACTATATAAAATACTTAACAGTTTGTTTTATACCTGTTTGTATTATTCATACATGAAACAAGCATTAGTTAAAAATTTAGCTTTGAAGCTTAGAATACAATAATGTAATCCTTGAAATAACACGCTTTTACGATGGCTATTCGTGATTCGGGTAATTAGGTCACGCGGTTACAAATTGACTTACTGTTTAAAGGAGAAATTCTGATGCCAATAGTACACAAGAAAATAGTCAACCTTCCGATGCGTTTAACGAAACTTGTGTAAATGTTATTTGAAACTGCCTCAAGGGGACTTTTTAAATCCACTAGATTAAATTAAATGATTCACATATAAAAATTTTTTTTTGCAAATTAACACTACGTATTGTCAGTATCCTTATACAGGCTAATTTCTTCGTTCGAAAGATTAGCTGTTTTTTCGGTTATTTTACTAAACAAAATGAAAGGCACTCGAATTCGCGTGAAACTAAAAAAAATTTGACGCGTATTTACTTAGGTATCTAACCTAAAAGGTCAACAAACCTTTATTTCCATCTAGTACTATACTCTGTAGTATATTTATGAATGCAGGACAAGCCGACCATGCACTGCGAGAGTACTCGTACTGCGACTCTGCATCTACGCGCGTGTGTGTAAAAATATTTATACATCTGTATACGTGCACACAAAAAAAGCACATTGTACATTGTATATACATGTATACAGTTACATGCCTACACGCCTAAATAACGTAAGGATTCATTGAATGAAAAAAAGCAAAAAATTTGCTTCTAATCTTTTCCGATACTCGGTCCATCTGCTGATTCTCGTACAGATGTAATAATCTTGAATAATTTATGCACTAGAGAGAAACTCTACTGGTATAAATAAATTGAAGAAATCGCCTAATGTAAATAAATACACATGTGTACTGCACTTTGGAGCACCAAGCACAACAATATTAACGATAATTAAAAATACCTAAGATCGATGGACAAAGTTTTAAATATCTTGTTATTACAGAATAACACCAGCACTCGAAAACTTCATTCTATCTAAATAATAGCAATAAACACGGGAAATTTCAATTTTATAACATACTGATGGAGTGACTTTCGACCGAATTCCATGAAATTACGATTAGCCAACGCATTCAGTTGATATTTTTAATTTAAAATTAAAATATTTTATAAGCGCACGATTTTACGACTTTTAAGTCTGGATAAAATCCGACCGAAACACACTCGCGCAAAAAATAAAGGTTTAATTCCATCTTTACAGCGAATACGACTGTATAATTAGTATAAATTGTTGTATGGGACTCTATAATGTATGGGCATCGATTGCTTGACTTTGGAGTCTAAGGCTGCGTTCACAGTCAGAACAGCCTATGAGCCTCCATAGGAATGAGATAAAGGTTCTTTTCGGTAGTAGATCTATTATTTAATTTATTCTTATTAACAATTAATTATTTTCCAAAATTAACTATTTACTCAATTTTGTGACAATAATTAATGTGCATGTTGAAGGTACCAAATAAAGCTGTATGTAATTTTTAAACAAAATTTTATAAAAAAAGAAAACAAAAAATAGGATGAAATAATGCTCGAATCCCAATCCCAATAAGTCTATAACTTTTTGCAAAAAAANTTTTTTTTTTTTTTTTTTTTTTTTTTTTTTTTTTTTTTTTTTTTTCTCTCTCTATTGTATCCATATGTATCAGGTTTGTTTGTTCGTTTTTTTATCCTTCCAAAGAATTACTGATTTTTTCGACAATTTTTTTCTGAAAGTTGTTACTCGGAAAAACTTTTTGTCGACTTTTTTTACAAGCCACTGATTTTTCTGGTTTTTTTTTTTTTTTTTTTTTTTTTTTTTTTTTTTTTTTGTAAAAAGTTATGGACCGATTGGGACTCAAAAAGCTTTTTTTTGTTTTTCCAAGCAGTACCTATTCCATACCGTTTTGTGTTTGTTTCAGATATTTTTTTTTACATTGAAAATCGTAAAAAAATCTGTTTTACGAACCTTTTCCCATTTTTTCTTACAAGTTTCGTGGAAATATTCTTTCCAAAAGTATATTCAGCTATGTGTATTATTTTTCTACTAATACACATTTTATGTAATTGTTGAGTTTGATACCTGTTGTTTTTATTGTATTTTTTATGTTTAAAAATCTGTTAGTCGACTCAATTCGGTGCGATTCATTGTATATTGCTTTTCTTGTGTATTAATACAAATTACATATTCATTAAAAAAAAAAAAAAACATGTATTTAAATTGTTTCTTCCTTTCTTTATAAAAAATTTTAAAACACACTAAAAAAAAACATTTATCAGCAATTATTCTATAAACATTTTCATAAAAGTATAAGGTTAATGAAATAATTTAGAATCTATTTATTTTTAATTAAACGTTTGTATTTATTTTAATTAATTTTGCACTAAAGATAAAATATTATTGACAGGCACTTTAAGTTTATATAAACATGATGTACAGATTTAAAAAAATTTGCTAATTTTCATTTTTTTGTAACGAATGTCAAAAACTAATTATTCTGCATAATATACATTTTTACAAATGAATTCCAAGATCCTTTAAGAATGACCTTTATAATTTCAGTCACAAATTTGATAATTAATCTAGCGACACTATGTCGGAACAGGATGTCCTCATAATATTTAGAGTGTAAAAAAGAATTTAACACTTAATTATACTCGCTTAGAGTATCACATAACGTTTTAGAAAGTTTTTAAAAAGAAATGACAAAGCTTATTATGAATTTTTTTATAGTAATAAAATAATTTTTTCTTTAATATGAAAAAATTATGTACAAAGTCTACGGAAATTTATTCAACATTTGATGGTGGCGCTGCATAACGAGTTCGTAAATCGACGTCTCCATCACATAAATATTTTCCTGTGGTAAGAAAATAAAAGAACAAACTAGTTTTACTTTTTGAATCAAGTGAACACATTATTAAAAAATTAATAATATAATTACCAGAAACGAATCTTTTTTTTATCAAACTAACTCGATACCCAGGGCCGGCCAAATCAAACTCAACTCCAGACAAGGTTGTTCCCTCGCAATTGAATGACGTAAAAATAGTCTGCTGGTTACCAGGACCTCGAGACAGTTCCACTCGAGCTTTAAGCGATCCAACACCTGCTCCTTCTGTGTGCTGCGATAATTCGGTGAACTTCCAAATCAGCCGATTTGTGTCGGGCAACCACTGTGCATTGGGTTTACTTTGAACGGTTTTGAAGCCACCGTCAATCGGTACTGACACCTGTATGTTCAGTAATGGTGCTGGAATCGCCATAGCTCGACTATTATATTTATAATCGACCTGAAATTAATTATCAGGCTTAGCTCTTAGTGTTCAAATTAACTTTATGAATTTATATTTTAGGCTGTTAAAAAAGGTAAAAAAAAAAAATTAAAAAAAATACCTTAAGATCAGTGTGAGTAACGTTACACTTCCAGTAAGCGACCAGCTGGAAGGGGCAAGAACTAGCACCCTCTTTTCCCTTGATCTGATACTTAAGAATATCCACGTTAAAATAGGAAGCGGCCGGATTTTGTTCAGCTTGTCGTCGCAGCAATGCAGTTAAGGCACTCATGTTAAATTCAAAAAATGTACTGTCAGCTGTCGCTTGAGTCACATCCCTGCTTGTATTAACAAAACCATTAAAAAATGTGAAACAAAATTTAATGACAATAATAACAGTAAAAGGAGAAAGAGGAGGCACATAAAGCATTTGATTAGTTAATTTAGGCATGGGGAAACTCACATGCTAATCAGTTGACTGTTGGGGACCAATTTTTCAAGTCTATTACTATTTTTCAGCCGAAAGGTGAGTTTTGCTGGGTTGGGATTGTTGGCCAGTACAGCAACTATGCCAGCAGGGAAGGACAGCATCATATCACCGAGAAGCTTTATCTGGCAGCGGGCCTCGTCACTGCCTCTGAAGTACGAGTGGATTATTTCATGAAAGGCTACAGCCAGGGGTATTGTATCGGCAAGACCTATAGTTAGCGGCGATGGGCCTCTAGACGAGCCCACGCCTACACCGGCAGTACGAAACTCTAGACTGGCTACGCTGTCCGCCCGCGATATGGTCGCCGGTGACATTCTTCCACGTATCGTGTCACCTCGTCGTGAAGGTGGCCGAGGTATCGCGATCGAGCTCATCGAGGTCGTTGACTGTTTAGGAGGTAGAGCCGGAGTCGCGTCGTTCAGTTCGGAGAATAGATCACCTTCTGCCAAAAAAAAACAAAAAAAAAAAAAACTTGAACCTACTAACATTGTTATCATGTGCACGTACAGAGCTAATAAAAAAACTTACCTGGAAATTTGGGTGGTGCAGACTGTGGCGGAGGTGGCATCGTAGGGATGGGCGACGAGGATATTGCGGGCGGACTTTGCAAAGGAGCATAGGGATGACTACCCGTGGGCGTCGAGGCACTCGACGGTGTACTGCTTGGATTGAAAAAATTGAGTAGGTCCGAGCTAGGTTTGACGCTCAACTGCTGAGAAACTGACTGCGAACGCTTCATATTAGGGTCTGAATCGGTGCTTGAGCCTCGTCTTCCCTAAATTAAAACACTTTATTATAATAAACACGTACAAATTCATATGTCAGGAAGACGATAGATTATTAGACGATGAAAGATTACCGTAGGAGCCGGGGAGAGTGAAAGATTCCCTACGGTCGCACGGAGCTCGTCGACGCTCGCACTCATCGGCGCACTACCATTACTTAAAGGCTTGATTTCAACTCTGATTTTGCGATCTCTCTCGTCATCCGAGTCTGTGTCCGAACTCGAGTAGAATCCCTTCTCGTTCTCCCAAGGATCAGACTTGGGCTTGATACAGTAACCATCCTCGTCAACTTCTGGAGTTGGTGTCCCTGACTTTCGGCTATCCTGATCTTTCTCTTCTCTATGTCACCACATGAAAGTAAAAACAAATCATTTTCAAACTCTTGGATTTTGAAATTTTTTTTGAATCGTCTACTAATTTTACAAATTAAAAAAAAAAAAAAAAAAAATTATGTTATGAACTTGGTAAAGTTTTCTATTTTAAAGTGAAGAATACAGGTTTTTATTGTCGTCTTTTAAAGTCTTTGCTTTAGATAACATGTTAACATTTACAGCCGGTCAATTAACTCGAATACCATACGTTATTAGCTACTATAAGTAACAACTTGTGTTTATAATATGACAGTGTATTTGTTGGTCGTACAAATCGGAAATAAGTTGAAGAGGAAAAAAGGGACTGTAGAATAATTGCGTCATACTGATTTCAAGTATACTGACAGATCGGACTTGTCTTCCTTGTTGCTGGCCGTTTCCACGGAATCTTTTTTTTTCTTTGCTTTCTTTTCTTTGCGCTTCTCTCGCCTGCTTCTTAGGAACCCTATGAATATAAAAATTTTCATTTTACTTTAATACTTATTTTTTATCTTTACATATCTAAATAATTGAATAATACTTTACTTAAAAAATTTACACTTTTTTTATTCATTTACCAAGCAGCTCATGAGGCTTCAACTGCTTGATAATTGCAGCAGCTATGGATTACTACGACTAAAGCTACGAAACTTGATTTTTTTTATTTATTTACTTTCCAAGTGAGCATCTTTTAGCGCAATGTGAATCAACTAATACGTAACGTTAAATAAAAATTTGTGCACGTCTATGTATAATAAACCTTGCACATTTATTTTGGCTCTATGCTATGTAAGTATTCGTGAAAAATATTTATAAAAAATAAATTGATGCGAAATTTTCTCTCTCTATTCAACTTTTCTTCAAACTGTTATCATCAGCAATGACAATGATTATTCAATAAACTGGTACTTTTGTAATATTTATAAATACATATTAGTTAAGGTGCAGAATGAACAAGCAATACATATTTTGCAACAGTAAGATAAGTATAATACAGAATATAGAACATAGCTTATACGAGCGTACTATTAAAGTAAAGTTTTGAAAAAAAAGAAAAAAAAAAAAAAAGAAAGAAAAAGAAAACAGTTCCCTGGAACCTCCACCAAAAATGAGCAATAACACAAATTTATCTTTTTAGCCTAAAAAATTGTTTTTCTAACAATTTCAATGCTCTGCTTTGCAATTTCATGTACACAAACTTTTTTTTTCTTCAAGCCATAAGTGTCTCATAATTTCATTAAATAGAAAAAAAACCGTATTCATGACATGTATAACTGTGTTCGGAGGAATGGGAAGGAAACTCAAGTCGTCAAAAGACTCACATTACGCTATTAGAATGGCTGGACTCATTGTCAGGTGTTTCGTGAGTGCGTCAAGTTAGCACTTGGAAAATAAATGAACGAGAGGGAAGGAAAACTCGAGCCGACTGTGCGTTTTTTTTTTTTTTTTTTTTTTTTTTTTTTTTTTTTTTTTTTTTTTTTTTTTTTTTTT